GAGGCAGCAGCTGTTTCAACATGCGCTCAAATTCCTATTTCTAGAAGACTAATACTTGAGACCAGATAATTTCTCTTCTCCACAGGTAAGTGAATATTAATAGAGGTCCTTTTAAGGTTCCGGGGCACGTTTGTATCATCACAGACATTAAAGCCGTGGTTTTCCAGGATACATTCCGCAGGTTCCGAAACACAGCCCCAGACACCCCAAGGAGCCAGGAGACCCCTGCCCTTCCCATCCTCTCTCCACACAACCCTCTACCTGAAAAGAGATGGTTCCTATTTCTTCATAGCAGTGTTGGGAAATCTATAGGCTCCATGAGAAGAGAGAGTGATTCAAAACTGAGAGGAGAATATGCGGGGAAGTGGGTGATGGGCAGGTGTGAGTAATGAAGGAAGCTCAGCGGGGTTGGACTGAGCGGGAGCGGGGCTTGGACCAAGTGGGAGGGGTGCTAATTTAGGCCGTGCGGGGTACAGTAAGGAGTCAGGGCTTTATCCTGAAGGCTCTAGGACACCACTGAAATCCCTGGCATTTGGGAAGGATCCCTTAGCAGTCGTGTGGAGAAAGGACTGGAGAGGAGGACCCTGGCTGCAGGATGCACCTGGAGATCAGGTGAGATGATGGTGGACTGGACAGAGATGAGGCAGTAAAGGGAGATGGATGGATTCCACCCCTAAGGTAAACCAAGCAGCCATCCATAAATGGGGCGAGGACTCCCACTTAGCTCTGCCGGGGGGCGTCTCTGGGCGCTCGGTGAAAAAAGCTGATGGAGGAAATTATCAAACGCAAAAATCTTGCACGGGCTGTGGATGGAAGCTGTGAGCATTCAAGCACCTGACCCTGTGGGTAATCAGAGAGCAATTAGGTCTCACTTACTAGATGGAATCTGGCTGCTCCCGGCTCAGATGGGTTTGAAGTGGGTGGGAGTGACTAAGCACAGGCCCGTGGCCGTACCCTGGTGGGGCAATTACAGCTGCAGGAAAATTCGATGATCAGACTGAAGCGAGAGGAGGGCTAATTGGAGAAGCCAGGCTGGAACTGCATGGTGAGCAGACAACCAAGGAGGGAGGTGTCCCGCATCTCCCACTGTCCACTGATGTTTCCCGGGGAGGTCATGGCGGGGTGGGAGGTGGTCCAAGAACAGATGCTGCAAGAGGGCGAGGACTCTGCTGACAGAGGAGCAAGGACAAAGGTACAGGTGATGCCTGGGGGACCTCTCCTGACTGGTTAGATGATCAGTGACCCCGGAGGCTCCCTGAGGGACGGGGGCACACGGGCTATATTGAGGATGTGGCTGAGGGGTGGAATCTCTCTTGCTCAATCCTACCTTGGCCATCCTTGGGCTGACCTTGCCTCATTCACTTTTTGAGCCAATATTTGAGAACCTAGTGTCAGTAACAGTTTACAGATGGCTAGCACTTCATGGTTGGCAAAGGTGTTTTACGTGTATTTTCTTGTTAATCCTCACAATCTGTGCAGTAGGTACTATTGTCCTGAGTTGGCTGATGAAGAACTGAGGTTCAGAGAGGTCAGTTAACTCGCCAAGTTCCCATATGATGCCCATAACAACTGTGAGAGGAAGGCAGGGCAGGGTCTCCTCTATTTCACAGACTAGGCAAAGCAGGTTGCGGAGAGTTGCCCAAAGTCACACTCAAGTAGTTAGTGGCAATTGGGGCTGAATCCAAAAGTCTTTCTACGGCATGCCTATAAAAGAAGGAACAGAGCGTCAAGTTAAAGGTGGGTTTCAGGGATGATGTCCTGGTGCTTTGCTTGATCTGCTAGGACAGTGGCCCTAGCTGACCACCTTGGCTGTGCTGGACCAAACCGGGAGAAGTAAACATTAGGAGATAAGAATAAAATCGGGATTAAAGGGACCACATATTGAAGGGCAGTCCACATTCAAGCTCTTTTGTCCAGTTATCACCATAACTACATGCGTTCTTGTCACACTGTGTGATTTTTGGATAGGAAGAAACTTGTGTGATGGTTGGATGCTGGGTCAGAGTCCCCCTCCTGTCAGAACCCTCTTTGTTCAGATGCCCTCTCCTTAGTGTGAGTTCAGGACTTCCAGGTCTAGAGTTATTTTGTGTAATGTAACTATGCGTTAGTTATGCTGCATAACAAATCACCCCCCAATTTAGTGGTGTAAACAAACACACACTTATTATCTCACAATTTCTGCAGGTCAGGAATCTGGGCATGGCTTACCCAGGTTCTCTGCTTCAGGGTCTCTCCCAGGCTGCAGTGAAGGAGTCAGCCAGGGTTAAGGTCTCATCCCAAGGTTTGGCTAGGGCAGGATCTGCTTCTAAGCTCACATGGTCGTTGGTAGGATTCAGTTCCTCCAGGGCTGCTGGACCGAGGGCCTCAGTTCCTAGTTGGCTGTTGGCCACCCTCAGTTCTTTGCCCTGTGGGTTTCTCCAGTGTGGTTGCTGTTTTGTCACAGTGCAGAAGCCCAGAAGGGAATGAAGGTCTGTTAGGAAGATGAAAGTCCCAGTGTTTTGTAACCTAATCACATCCCATCACCTTTGCCTTATGCTATTAGTTAGAAACAATTCACAGGGTCCAGTCTACCCCAAGGGGGTGGGTAATCACACAAGGATGTGAATACCAGTAAGCCGTGTTCACTGGAAGCTGTCAGAGCAGCCTGCCAACCGCAACTCAAGGGTAAGAATAGAAGGAATAAGCCAGCAGCAAGTGGGGAAAAAAATAAAGCTTACTAATTTTTGATTACTTATGTTGAGCCCTGAGCTCAGCACCTCACATGAATTAACTGTCTCATATAAATCTCCCAGCAACACTGTGGCATAGATATCATTATCCCCATTGTACAGATAACACACACTTCAGAGGAATTAAATAACTCTCTCTCAAGGCCAAATAGTAAATGGTAGAGCCAGGATTCAGAGTTGGGTTGCCAAACTACCAAGCCCATTCGGGGCCTGGAGGGGGCCTGAGCCCGGGGACCCCATTTCCCACCTGAGTGCTTTTACCTGAATTGTAGGAATAATAGCTAAGAGGAACAAAAATGCTTTGCAAATGCCAGTCTTGCAAACTTAAACCTAGAAAGTCTCAGGTGTTTTATGGAGAGATTAGAGGTAGGAGAGTGTTAAGGTAGGAAAGCGGTTGAGAGGCTGTTTCAGGTGTCCAGGCTCAGAGCAAAGCAAAGCTGGGCAGCAGGTGGGAGGGGATGGACAGGCAGGTGCACGAGTCAGCCAGGCCAGGGATGGGCATATGGAAGGAGGAGGGACAGGGGCTGATTGCACTGGTGCGGGTGGGGCCCAAGAGACATCCTTTTCAGAAGCTCCTGGTGACTCCAATGTGCTGCCAGGGTGAGAACCACTGTTCTACATTTTCGTGGGTGGCAGACAGGGTCACACTGCCAATGGCAAGAAAGGCAGGGAGCAGGCGGGAGGGAGGGAGTGTAACCAGGTGGAGATGGTAAGATTGTTTCACTTGCAAATAATGTTGAGTTGGAGGTGACTGCTTGATGTTTTTTTTACTTTAGTAAAAAAACAAACAAAAAAAACCACTCCTCATTTAGAAACATGGGATGTTGAAAACACATTGAAGAGTAAACTGCAGAGAGGATAGAGGTGGACGATGGATCAGTTCATAGGAAAGAAAGAAAAAGAAAGAAAAGGCACGGCCTGGATTGTATCAGCTTTACATGCAGAGTTGTTGGGAGAGCTAAGAGTTGCTGGTAAATGTGCTTGGCTCAGGGGGTGGCACGTAATAAATGCAGCTATCGGTTAATACAATCACATTCACTCCAAGAATGACTCCAATGGTCCAGTTTAAAGGTAAGAAAAGAGCTTCAAAGAACCTTATCCAAAGTCCTACAGGGAGTAAATGTAGACTTAGACCTCAGAGTCGGTGCTCCCCGCTACAACACCTCTCACATCAGAGGGCTGAGCACGAAGACGTGGGTACCGAGAAGGTGTGAAGGACAGTTGGTTAAGGAGATGGGAGAAGTTGGGAAGGCAGGAGCAGAGGCACGGGGCACGGTGTGCATCAGGAGGCCAAGAGCGGGGCGGAAGAGGAAGAGGTTTACCACGCAACCCCGCCACGGCCAGGGGGCAGCTAGCTGGCACCGGCACCAGGGAAACCATTTAAGATATGCACAGTTGTAGGAGGGATGTCTGCGGACTTGTCCACTGAAGAGGGGTTGGACCAGCAAAGGAGAAAAGCAGCATGTGGATGCGTGTCCCAGACTCCCTCTCCCAGTGCTCAGGACCTGACAAGACAGGCCATTATCCTCGTGGGAGTCCTGGGTTGTTTTCAAAACTGCACTTCTATGCAGGGACTGCTCATCACCCTCAGACAAGCGCTTTTGCCAAATGATTCAAAGTGATGCAGTCTGTGAAAAGTACACACCTGGGGGAACATCAGGCCATCCTGTCATTGTTATCCTCATCCAAGGATGTCCTTTGAACATGTCCCCATAAAGATACCCATACCATTCAAGCCTCTGAACAGGGCTTCTCAAATTCCAAGGTGCGTCATATCACCGATTCAAGCGGGTCCGAGGTTCCGATTTCTAACGAACGATGCTGCTGACCCGAAGACCACACTCTGAGCAGCAAGGCCTCAGGGCAATGGCCCCCAAACTTGTCTGAACGTTGGAATCACCTGGGGAGTTTCCGGACTATGGATTCCCGTTTCCCAGCGACAGAAAGGTCTCCACGTGATTTTAAGCAAGTTTAGGACGCACTGCCAGGAGGCTTGCAGAGGGAGCATGTAGAGAGCTTGCAGGAAATGAATCCATAAAGAAGACAAACCCAGCATGTAGTAAGAACTGGATAGTTTAGATCATGCAAGGGTGGTGGCGGATGGGAACACTTTAACAGTCCGCCTCGGGGCCCATCACAGGGCCTGCGACTCGCAGGCACCTTTTCCTCGGTGGGGGGGGGGGGGGG